TGGCTTTTTGCAATATTATCTTTTATGGAGCTGATTTTGGAACACGAATTTGGGAGCCTTTTCCCTTTAACCGTCTTGAGGGAACCATCATTAGGGAACCTCTTTAGTCCAATAAATAATGTTAATTCTTCATTTGGGTCTGATTTAGCTTTCTTAGTTGATCGAAAATGTGCACAGTTCTCTTTGCTTGTTTTCTTTTTCAAAAACAGCTCAAATGTGAGTACTTTACTCGCATTCTGAGGCCTGCCAAATGATAGCTGGGTTAGACCATCTGCAGGTGATTTCCGTTTATCTCCACAAACACTACTCGTTGAGGGCTCACAACTTGAATGTGGACAAATTTTTGTTTGGTAATCTCGACACTTCCAACAGTATTTTATTCCATCTTTCAGTTCTGCAGAAAAGACCCCACAAAAACTAAACCAAATTAATTTGTTGTATTATTTTGAAAGTTTAGCTATGCTAAGAAATAACGTTAAAAAAGCATGTTGTAATAAGAAGCAAGTGCATGATTCAATAGTAATTCTTTCATAAAAATATTGTAACTAGACCGTAGCTCAAAATAAAAGACATATAAACTTACAAAACATTCTTGCTTTCATGTTCGTCAGCCATATTGGTTTGAAGATTTCGTCAATATTCATCCAAGTTAATATACAGGTCAGTGTGGCTAACGCATAGCTCAAATGTCGCCGTGAGAATTTTGTATTCAAATGTTGCCGTGAGATTTTTGTATTCAAATGTTGCCGTGAAGTTTTTGTATTCAAATGTTGCCGTGAGATTTTTGTATTCAAATGTTGCTGTGAGATTTTTGTATTCAAATGTTGCCGTGAGATTTTTGTATTCAAATGTTGCCGTGACACTTATAGTCCACCGTAAACCTGAGTATTTCACATACATGAAGTGTTGTCCCATGTCACATATTGTCCCCTTTTCTAACTGAACACCTCATGTAGAGATGTAAAGGTGTGTTAATCTACGGCTCATACCAGATTGATATTTTCTATAAAGTAAAAATGTCTTCCTATGTATGAAGATAAACCTTGAAATTTGGCAAAACAGCAAAGTATTTTTCATGATCACTAGGTAATTTTTCTGATGATCATTATAATTTCTAAACTAAATTATTTCAGATTTACATTTAAACGAGCTTTGATCATATGAAAAGATATTTATCATAACCAGCAAGCATGACACATGAACCAGTTTTAACATTCATGTAATTATATAATTAAAGACATGTTGGTTACATTTTGTTTGTATTTGATAATACAATGCTACTAGTGATTGCTATATAGCACACCTTGCATATACTTACAGGAGATAATAGTCTAGTGAAATGCCTAATAAACATTTATGGCATTAAGCTGTCCTTAACTGCAAATTTTCACTCTGATAATTTTTGCTTAGTCTTTGGCAGAAAAAAATTTTGAGTTTTTTCTTAAAAGGAGAATTTGCTGGCACTGATGTGGAGATGGGTAAAGGGTTACAATAAACTTGCATGGTTTGAAATCTGAGCTTTTCAATATCTATGAACTGTCACTTGTAGTACCAAATTTCTAACTTAACTCATTACATAGAGGTTTGAATGGGGGTCTCTAGGGGGTCTATGCCTGATAACTTGGTAGAAATTTATAAAGACTGAAATTTTTAAGGCTTTGCAATTCAAAATTTCTCAGAGGAGAATGCCTCCGAGCCCCCCAGGTGCGGAGCGCCTCCGACGTTTTATGACTGATGTTTGAAAAATCCTAGATCCGCCCCTGACAGTTATAGCAACAAAAATTAGCGACTATTAATCTTTGTGGTTAAGAAAAATTCCTAGATTTGAGATCTTTATTAAATTCTAGCTTGAACTTAAAGTAGACGAAGCGAAGTAACAAAGTAATAAAAATTATGAAATCATTAAAATAATCTGACTGAGGCATTTGCATTAGTTGCATCACCCTGGATCCACGACCAACAATGTTCCATGTGATACTCTAGGATATCAGCTAAGTATTGTCTCAATCATTCGGATATGGATTAGATGTGAATTAGAAAGTCGAAAATTGTCTACTTCGATGATAGATTTGTGTGTCGGTAAACAGTAGCAAATTCCGTGTTCGTCAAAAATGGAGAAATTTACAAAATTGACTATATACCTTCAAGACCATATTTTCAGACTTGAAAGTGCATTTTAATCTTTCTCTTACTTTTTTCACGTTTTGGCTTTTTGAATCGCATCAAAGGTATGTGAAAATTATTATTTGTAAAGGTTCCTCCGGGGAGCGGAATTAAATCTAAAATCCCTAGTGGTTTTTCCTATTTAGTATTCTCCAAGTACTCGTGCCTTCGTGCGCGGTCTTGGTTTGTACCATTTAGGTTTTTGCATTAGGGATTTTTTATATCGGTTAAGTCTAAAAAAACAGTGACCTTGGTAAGGGACTAAAGTTCTACTTCATGTTATATACAATCATCGAAACTAAAGACAGAATTCATTTTGTTATAGAAGTTTTTAGAGTACGTGCTCCCGATAAAGTTAACGTCAACATGAACCATATTTGACCGTCTGACAATTTTAAAAAATAAAATTTCTGAATTATTTAATAAATCTAGGATCTGTTTAATTATACCGCTCCTAAAAGATGTGTGACTTTTACCAAAAATGTCACACTTCTTTTAGGAGTGGTATAATTTGGTCTTTGGGTTCGATTCCCAATACACTGTTCTTGTGTCAGAAATGCCCATATTATAGTTATAGTTTTTTAATAATATTTGACGCAAACATCTCAAATTGTACTTTATAATAGGAAAGGCATTTATGGCTATTCGTATGTTTAAGATAATTTTGTTCTTAGTTGTAATTTTATTGGCAAATGTATGTGGTCTAGTCTGAAAACGAATTTTTTTGAAATTTATTCACTCGGATGAAGTCTTAAAAGTAAAGATGATGATTTTTTCTTTTTACGTAGTTTATGTGTAGAAAAGAATAGCCATTTTTTATGACATAAGTACTTACGAATGCTTCAAATAATAGTACATACGGACGTTTCAATTTGATTAATATAAATTTTAACTTTCTAAAAATGTTCATAATGGTTATTGACACTTCCATTCAATTTTTTGGGGGAAATGGGATTGTAATTTACATTCGTTTTCCTCAAGTGAAAGGTGATCCTCTAGCTGGTGGATAGTGCATTTCAGCAGGTGGTTTATTAGCTATATCTACCACTTCATAAGTTATAAAGCATACATATTTACTAAGTGATATAAAATATCACTTACAATTCAGCCAGATGTTATACTTTGAATTGTACGATTACTTATGACGTTTAAAGTGCCTATGAAATGAAAATTTTCATGTTTGCAATAATAAGAAGTTTTGAAATGACAATGTACTTTCTAAAAAAGTTAATGCATATCTCTTTTCCTTCGCGAGATATTGAAATTTTGGTATTTCTATTTCATCCAACTTGTGACGTCATATTGCATAATGAGTTCTCAAAATGTTTGAAATACTCTTTATTTTCCTGACAACTTTAGGTTGATACTAATAGGCAGCATCTTATACCATTAAACACGTCACAACAAATGAAACTGTGACCTTGTGAAGTAAAGTATTGTTAAATATACCTAATACTCCTAGCTCTCATTATACAATGTGACGTCACAAGTTAGATAAATCGGACATAGCATAAACCTCAATACCTCAAAAATTGAAAGTGGTATGCATAAACTGTTTTAGAAAGCACACTGCATTTTAAAAGTTCTGGTCATTGCAAAAATAAAAGTTTTCGTGTCAAAGCATACTATTTGGTTTGTAAACGAATACAAAATAAATAGTCTTGTGTAGATTGATGAAGATTAGTTACCATTACAAGCCAATCCTCGCTGCCAAAGTCAAACACGGTTTTACAATCCAGAAAATCTAGATGTCATATGTTACAACTCATTGTAAAATAAGAACGTTTCTAAAATTTAAAATAAATAGATGCAGTAAACTCTAGAATAAATCCAAACAACTTAAGAGGCAAAAATGTCAGCCTTCGTCAATTCAAGAAAAATCTTTCGCACTTATTATACATTATATAAATCGTGTTGTTTTTAATGTTTGCAAAATTGTGTTTAAAAGGCTGCAGTAACTGGAGAAAGCTGTAGCATTGTTCTTTGTCATTTAGAAGTTATTTACTTTCTTTTGTTGTTGTAGTATACTCTTCGCGAAGTTAATTCAATAAAATAAAAAAGCCTAAAAGCTCAAAATTTATATAAATGATTTACAAAACTTTAAACTAAAACTGTCACACAAATATTACTAAGTGCTTTCATGTGACATTAATATGCGGGTACCTACCAGATGATATGGGATCTGAGATGTAAAATCAACATAACTATGCACTACTTTCTATCTGTGAAGTAAATACAAGGTCTTACAGCAGTTATAAGATTATTTTGAAACTTTACTCAGTAAATGTGAGTGTGAGAGAGTTTTTAGAATATAGGCAATTGAGAGCGGCGTAGTTAACCTTACGTGTATTTAGGTGTATATTCAACATTCATTTAAGAAATTTTAAATACATAGCACTTGTATTTTAGTTGTGTGGATTTAGGCACGACATAATTGTCAGGGTTACAGCGCATGAAATAAACAAAATATCAGAAAATGATGACAAATATGATTATTTTTCTATAAAACTAATTAAAATATTATTGAGTCCATATACAAAGTATTAGACAAAATGCTGTCAATCACTCAATCTCATGAAAATGTTATTAATTCGACTATTTTATATTTTAATCAGCTACGTAATTAATATGACATAGTAAAACACAAAAGATTCTACTTATGGAATTATGCACAACTCCTGATGGTCAGATTTATACGATAAGGAACTTCCAAGAGCCCAAAAAGACCAAGGCCAGACTTTTAGTAATTATAATAATTTCAGAAACCTAATTTTTTATTGTATACGAGTTTATCATGTTGGATAAATGTAGTGCAAATTTATCAGTGTAGCTAAACATAAAAGTTAACTTTTAATGTCATATTCGCCTTCAGTCTTTTTCCAAAACAATTTACAGTAAAAATTAAATAATCAGGTATATTACATTGTATCAAAGAATACCTCAGACTGTAGATTCAGCAGAAATGTGGTTAAATATCGTCTAAATACGTCGTGGAAACTGTTTTTCTTTATATCTATAAAATAAGATCGCTACAGTATCAATGATTTCTTAATAGCTACTTTTTTCACGCCTAACAGGTTCTATTGTATCTAAATTGTTTATTGATGTAGTTCGCTTTTATTAAAATTAAAAAATTTCTTGAGATCTGGTTTGTTTTTCAATTCTTCATTTGACCTGACAGCAGCATGTACCCGAACAGGGAGATTAGGAAATGTTCGGAGAAAATACGCCCTGTAATCGCCAATCTTATAAAATGGTTCTGGTTGTGGTAGAGGTCGTATTTCATCGTTCCAATGCTGGTCAATATTTCGAATAAGTCTTAAGCATTCTGTCCATGAAGATTTATACTTATAAATTTTTCCAGTTCTCACGTTCATTCTAAAATAATCATAGACATCACTATCCATTTGACTTTTCCAATATACGGATTCTCTATTCAAATGTTGAAAGACACTTGACTGGGGATCATTTGTCTTAATTGGTCTTTGGTTCCCAACTTTACTTAACATTTCAAACTTCTCATTATCTGACATGAGAAATGGGTGTTTTAATGCTTCGTTAGAATATGCTCTGTCTTCAGGTTTTAGATTTAACATCCACGACAGAAGGTCCTTTAGTGTTTCATCCTTGATTTCTTTCAAACCAACATGGTCTCCCTTCAGCATGTTGTCCAGTCTATACCGTTGATTTCCAAAAGGATGTTTTCCTTTTGTTGCAACATAATAAGCTACCATCCCTGCATTCTAAAATAATAAAAAGCGTTACATCAAAATGCAATTTCACAACATTGAGTGTCTTTACAACTTACAAATGTTTACATTCCTACACTTACATATACATCAGACCTTCTATTGTAACGGGCTTTATTTACTGAATCATCATCTTCGCAATATGATTCAGGAGCTATCCAATGCAAAGTTCCCATGGAAGTATTGCTTTTATATGTTGTAGAGTCATTCTTCATTATTCGACTTATGCCAAAGTCAGCTATCAGAAAGTTGCTTTTTGTGTCTCGCAGAACATTGGAAGGCTTCAAATCCCGATGTATAATAGGATTTGGGCCGCTATGAAGATCAGCTAATCCTTTTAAAATTTGTCTAAGAATATCAGGAAGAGCTTTTTGAAGATCATGCAAAGGAGAAAACGTGACAAAACTCTCCAATGATTCTTCACATAAGTCTAATATCAAATAAACATATTCTGTTCCAGTATCTTCTTCCAAGTAGAAATAATTCACGACATATTTCGACTTCTTTGCATTGAATTCATTTAAAATTTTCTTTTCGCGATGTGCAAGCTGGATAAATTTATGTCGATGTATTCGCTTCACTGCTTTACCGTAACCATCCTTACCCAGTCCAAGATAAACACGGGTTGCATCACTTCCTTCTCCAATGCAAAATTCTTCTGAGAATATTACACGTACATTGCCCTCCTCTTTAACATGAACACTGGAATTGCGTCCATATTCAATCAATTTTAAGAGCAATTGTCTATGTCTCGTTGATTCATCAATGTATTTCCACTTTTCTAGATAAAAATATAACATTCAAGGGTTAAAGAAACAAAATAAATATATTAAAAAAAAGCTAAAACCTCTCTAATTGGGAAAAAATACTAATACCGTACACTTTTAAAAAAACGTATTAAAATATTGTAATACATATCATAAATTTTTATCTGGTAACATTCGAGGTTAGCTTTCACCAAACAATTAATCATAAAAACGTCTCTCTTTAGTATATTCATAAATTTTTGTTAAGCAGTAACCTTGCGTTTTCCAAAAATATTAAATTAAAATTTTGAGAGCATATATTTTTTAGAGTCTAAAAAATTTTTTATACCAACAGATAACATAATAACTTCATTCAATTTTTCTTTCTATTCTCGATACTCGTCTCTTAGATAGACTATGTTATGTTTGTTGCCAAACATTAGCATTGAAATTCGATCTCTACATTTATTCTCTCAAACCTTGTTTGGACATCTTAAAGTGCAATGAAACAAAAATTTTGCTAGTTAAATTACATCTATATTGACCAGAACTTTTGAAACGACAGAGTGCTTTCTAAAACCGTTATTGCATGACATTATTCATTCTAAAAATATTGAAGTTCTTGCAATTAGCAATTTATTTAACTTAAGACATCATATTGCAATCAAATGACTTGAATTCCGATGTACATCATAAAATAAATATGCTTAGGTTATGCAATATATATAAAACAAAATAAAATTGAAAGGCATACCTTGTTTTGTATTTTCAACACCAGGAGAAATTCCGACATCTTTAGCATTAGCATCATCACCACTTGTGATTTCTACGAACAATATTTAAAAAAGCGTTATCCACACAAGCTGTGTATTTCTATTTTGACAACAAGTAAAAAAATGAATTTCTAGCTAGCGCTTGAAAAGAAATAACATAAATACATTGGAAAGTTTTGGATAGTAGCTTTTTAAAGCTATATATTTCATTTTGTTTCGCCATTAACTGCAAAATGTCATATCCATAGTCTACGCACTGTTTTACATGACTGAGATTTTCAAGTAATAAAATGACCTTACAAAAGGAAATATTGAGGGGGCAGTATGTATTTTTACGTAATGAACCAGCTTTCATCAGGCGCAATTTTACAAATGAATGTAGATAAACAAACTTCATGAATTACGACTGCCAAAGAGTATTTTGGTAAAAAAGAAGACAATAGACACTCTGTATATAGTAAACATTAAATAAAGTTTACTATATAGGAATGTCTATTTTGTTGTGTTTTACTAAAACTTCATAAAGGAAACAGCAAATGTTTTGTAAAACGAAAATAAAAACAAAACAAAAAACCATAGTATGAATGAAGTCAAAAAAGAACACTCGAAAAGTGGGTTTTATTATCTAGGAGACACAATTTTAAAACTATATATTTTCTCTTGGCGAAAACTAGAGGAGCGAAAGCCAGTCCTTGCAAAACAGCAAGAATGGAAAAAGAAAAGAAAGCTTCGTTTCAGATCAAATAATACCATATAGCTAATTGAATTTTTATTGACCTTGTCTGCACGGTCTTTATTGAGAAATCTCGGACCTCTGATTTTAGCACAAACCTCGCCTTAAGGGGCTCGGTCATTACAAATAACTTCAGTCCGATCTTTCCCCGTAAGCACTTCACACTCGGTTATTAAGGGCGTTGTAATGAATTCAGGGTTCCAAAGTTGACACAGCCAGGAGTAACTCCGGGGATAAGCTCCCGGTGTTTACAAAATGCTCCTCACGGCGTGCGTCTCAAACAGCCTCTGTAAACTAAGTCCAACTCCTGGCCTGCTCGTGTGGCTTTACTTCTAAGCCCGGCGGAGAAGGGGCGAAGGCGGGTCTCTGGCGCCTTAAAACCAGATTCTTCGGGCAGGTGGTGGCTTGTTAACCCAGGAAGGTAGCCCACCTAGGGGAAGGAAAACCCTGACTCCAAACTTCCGCTACCTTGCGGCGTACCCGGTTACGGGAAAGGCTAGGAGACGGATACTCCGAAGAAGTAAGCTGCACCTGCTGCGGCCGCTCTACACGTGGCAGCTTCTGCACCTGTGGAGCATTGTGTTGAATTTATTAAATGTACACTCAGCATGACGATATTTTGTTACTGTTATCAAGTATTACTTTAGTATGACATTGCGGGCGCAGCTCTATACAATCGCTGGCTCAGTTGTACGATATATATACGTTCTTGTTTTTTTCTTAATAAACAAACTTTTACTTATTTTCTCTCTGCTAATATTTCGTTGAACTAACACATTGAGCGTCAGTACGCGAGAGGGTGGAGACGGGCATGCACACCCCCTCTTCACCTAAAACATTCACCTGTGCTGGTCAGGCAAGCAGGTTCACCTGCATGCCTGCTCATCTGTCGCCCCGACAGGAGAGTGCATACATACATAATGAATTCAGACAATGAAAAGTGTTAACAAACTGTCGTCGCCAATCTCTAACGAGTATCTTAGTAATTATAAGAAAAAGTTGTTAAAGTCCTTTGTTGTTGACTTTTTATTTTGAGGACAAGTAAACTATTACAACTTTATGCAATTTTATGCAACCTGTCAAAGAACGAAAATTGTAAGCAGACACAGACATTAACACATTTTTTAGCGTTGTTGTTTAATTACTGATGGATTTAAAAGAAAAGTCTGGAATTATTTTAATCATACATAATCGTCATACACAGTATATATATGTATATAATTAAAAGTTTTCAAAAGAATATGCAAGCACACAAAAGCCTAGAAAATCGACTAATTTTATTTCCTAAACAGAGCAAATGAATGGTTGCTGAATTAATGCTTTATATTAAGCAACTTGATAAAACTAGATCTTAGCAAACAAATACATTATAGGTCTAATTTTAACTTGTAATAAAATTTCTACTTTCACTCCTGTAATTTAATATCTATGACATGTATAAATGACATAATATTTTCTTGCTGTAAAAAGAAATATACTGAAAATGGCATAAGCATGCTGAAATATGTCTGTTTTAAAATCATCCTGATTTGTTTCTAATGTTTGTCAATTTTTCAGTCTATGATTTTTTGAATACATAATTTTAACAAAGCTGGGTTTGGTGAAATAAAAATTTTTCTAAGATGTCAAAGACTCAAAGTGTGTTTAATTTTTGATACGTATATATTATAAGATGATATTTAAATGTATGCTTTAGTTCTATGAGTCACTTTGAAATAGACACCAGGTATATGAAATATTATTATCTCAAAATTGGTGCAATGTCGTATTTGAATCTTACAACTAACAATGAGTTTATAGCTGTTACATATCTTGAGCAATGTTTGTTTGATTAAATGTTTTGTTTCCCTCTCACTGTTCTTTAGAGCGGGTTTTATGTATATGTTTTTAGTTTATAGGTAGATTTTTGAATTATTCTTTTGGTTGATTAATGTAAATATGAATCCCAGCTGCGTTTTAATTATTGCTTTGGCTCTTTTGTTTATCTACAAGAAGAATGAATAACCCAGTCCTCACAAGAAACAATTTGTTTGTCAATGAATCCCTTAAATCTAGGACTTTCAATTCATTATGGCCAATTTTTTTTTGTATTATACTAAGAAATTTGTATGTATTCTTAGCCGACTGAAACATATTAAAAGCCGTTAATAAGCTACGGATCTCAAATAGTTGGAGTTGGACACAAAAAACACGAATTAAATTTTGCATTAATATTAATGCCTAAGCCATTAATGTACCTATTGATTTGACGGATGCAAGACTTTGTCTTAGTATATTTTCCCAATATATTTCCAGTTTAGTAATGTCTGTATATAGAATATGGTTAATAGTTACGATATTCTCAGCAACTCTGTGAAAATTACAAGTTTCAACAACACCTGTGGTCGAGACATCAATGCAGAAAGCTTTATCGTCAAGAGTTACACGTTTTCAAGCTTATTTTAATGATCAAAGTGTCCAACATTTAGTACAAAAACGGCAGAATACATTTAACTACTAGTTATATTCATTATGGCTGTCAGCGTTCTTCGTTGATGCACTTTATGACAAAATTGCGTCCTCCAAAGATTTATTAATTAATATTTGTATTTATAGTTGTCTTTTTGATACTTTTGCCAAATTTTGCGGAAAAAACGCGTTTTTCGACACAAAATTTAACAATATTGATGCTCCAGGCTGGCATTTGTTAATGGTAATATAAGAAACTAGTGAGGTGGGAACATCTTATGACGTCACGATCCATTTGTAAAAATTGGCATCGGGTGGCAAAATTTAGCGTTAAAATTAAACAATTTATACCAAACCAAAAATGCTCAAACATACACCAAAATGTTTCTAAGATTGTATATTTTTCACATGGCGAAAAAAAGATGGGGCGAAGTTTGGCCGGACTTGCACTTTAACAAAATAACATTATCACAAATGAATTACCAACATTATGTTGTATATAATACCTAAAAACTTACCAAAATATTTTGATGAATGAGAAACATGAGCATGACTTGGAACTGGAAATTTACTTTGAATTTTTTATACTCATATTTTTCTGTTTCTTCGTACATCGCACGAAACTTGCTCAAAGACGCAGTGACATGAGTATGGTCTTCACCTGGCACATTCAGTTTTTGAATTTCTACAGATTGTTCAAAAAACTTTATAGCTTTGTCGTGTTTTCCTGTTTTTTCATAAAGCAAACCGAGATGGTTTAAAGATACAGCGACATCTCTATGATTTGGACCTAAAGATTTTCTTCGAATTTCCAGTGCTTTTTTGAGATACTCTTTAGCTTTGTCGTACTTTCCAGTATCATAACACAACAAACTAAGATTGTGTAAAGAGGAAGCGACTCTAACATGATTTTGACCTAACGATTGTTTTCGAAGTTCTAGAGCTTTTTCGTAAAACTTTATAGATTTGTCGTACTTTCCAGTATTATAATACACATTACCAAGATTGATTAAAGAATCAGCAACATCAACATGATTTGGACCTAACGATTGTTTTCGAATTTCTAGAGCGTTTTCGTGAACCTCTATAGCTTTGTCGTAGTTTTCAGTTTTTTCAAACACCAAACCAAGATTGTTTAATGAATCAGCAACATAAACATGATTTGGACTTAACAATTGTTTTCGAATTTCTAGAGCTTTTTCGTGAACCTCTATAGCTTTGTCGTAGTTTCCAGTTCTTTCAAGCACGATACCAAGATTGTAAAAAGATGAAGCGACATGAACATGATTTGGACCCAGCGATTGTTTCCGAATTTCCAGAGCTTTTTTGTAAAACTCTATAGCTTTGTCGTAGTTTTCAGTTTCATAAAACACACCACCAAGATTGTTTAAAGACTGAGCGACATCAACATGATGTGGACCTAACGATTGTTTTCGAATTTTTAGAGCTTTTTCGTGAACCTCTTTAGCTTTGTCGTAGTTTCCAATTTTATGAAACACCAAACCAAGATTGTTTAAAGACTGAGCGACATCAACATGAGGTAGACCTAACGATTGTTTTCGAATTTCTAGAGCTTTTCCGTGAACCTCTTTAGCTTTGTCGTAGTTTCCAATTTTATAAAACACCAAACCAAGATTGTTTAAAGACTGAGCAACAGCGACATGATTTATACCTAACGATTGTTTTCGAATTTCTAGAGCTTTTTCGTGAAACTCTATAGCTTTGTCATAGTTTCCAGTTTTTTCAAACACCAAACCAAGATTGTTTAAAGAATCAGCAACATCAACATGATTTGGACCTAACGATTGTTTTCGAATTTCTAGAGCTTTTTCGTAAAACGTTATAGCTTTGTCATACTTTCCAGTATTATAATACACATTACCAAGATTGATTAAAGAATCAGCAACATCAACATGATTTGGACCTAACGATTGTTTTCGAATTTCTAGAACTTTTTCGTGAACCTCTATAGCATTGTCGTAGTTTTCAGTTTTTTCAAACACCAAACCAAGATTGTTTAAAGAATCAGCAACATAAACATGATTTGGACCTAACGATTGTTTTCGAATTTCCAGAGTTTTTTGTAAAACTCTGCAGCTTTTTCGTAGTTTTCAGTTTCGTAAAACACATCACCAAGATTGTTTAAAGACTGAGCGACATCAACATGATGTGGACCTAAGGATAGTTTTCGAATTTCTAGAGCTTTTCCGTGAACCTCTATAGCTTTGTCGTAGTTTCCAATTTTATAAAACACCAAACCAAGATGGTTTAAAGTCTGAGCAACAGCGACATGATTTAGACCTAACGATTGTTTTCGAATTTTTAGAGCTTTTTCGTGAACCTCTATAGCTTTGTCGTAGTTTCCAGTTTTTTCAAACACCAAACCAAGATTGTTTAAAGAAACAGCAACATCAACATGATTTGGACGTAACGATTGTTTTCGAATTTCTAGAGCTTTTTCGTGAACCTCTATAGCTTTGTCGTAGTTTCCATTTTTTTTTAAAACCACGCCAAGATTGTTTTAAGAAACAGCAACATCAACACGATTTGGACCTAACGATTGTTTTCGAATTTCTAGAGCTTTTTCGTTAAACTTTATAGCTTTGTCGTACTTTCCAGTATTATAATACACATTAGCAAGATCTGTTAAAGAATCAGCAACATCAACATGATTTAGACCTAACGATTGTTTTCGAATTTCTAGAACTTTTTCGTGAACCTCTATAGCTTTGTCGTAGTTTCCAGTTTTTTCAAAAACCACACCAAGATTGTTTAAAGAAACAGCAACATCAACATGATTTGGACCTAACGATTGTTTTAAAATTTCCAGAGCTTTTTCGAAAATTCAATAGCTTTGTCATAGTTTCCAGTTTTTTCAAGCACGTTACCAAGATTGTTTAAAGTTTGGACGACATCAACATGATTTGGACCTAACGATAGTTTTCCAATTTCTAGAGCTTTTTCGTGAACCTCTATAGCTTTGTCGTAGTTTCCAGTTCTTTCAAGCACGATACCAAGATTGTATAAAGATGAAGCGACATGAACATGATTTGGACCCAGCGATTGTTTCCGAATTTCCAGAGCTTTTTTGTAAAACTCTATAGCTTTGTCGTAGTTTTCAGTTTCATAAAACACACCACCAAGATTGTTGAAAGACTGAGCGACATCAACATGATGTGGAACTAACGATTGTTTTCGAATTTCTAGAGCTTTTTCGTGAACCTCTATAGCTTTGTCGTAGTTTTCATTTTTTTTAAAAACCGCACCAAGATTGTTTAAAGAAACAGCAACATCAATATGATTTGGACCTAACGATTGTTTTCGAATTTCTAGAGCTTTTTCGTTAAACTTTATAGCTTTGTCGTACTTTCCAATATTATAATACACATTAGCAAGATCTGTTAAAGAATCAGCAACATCAACATGATTTGGACCTAACGATTGTTTTCGAATTTCTAGAACTTTTTCGTGAACCTCTATAGCATTGTCGTAGTTTTCAGTTTTTTCAAACACCAAACCAAGATTGTTTAAAGAATCAGCAACATAAACATGATTTGGACCTAACGATTGTTTTCGAATTTCCAGAGCTTTTTTGTAAAACTCTACAGCTTTTTCGTAGTTTTCAGTTTCGTAAAACACATAACCAAGATTGTTTAAAGACTGAGCGACATCAACATGATGTGGACCTAACGATTGTTTTCGAATTTCTAGAGCTTTTTCGTGAACCTCTATAGCTTTGTCATAGTTTTCAGTTTTTTCAAAAACTACACCAAGATTGTTTAAAGAAACAGCAACATCAACATGATTTGGACCTAACGATTGTTTTAAAATTTCCAGAGCTTTTTCGTAAAATTCAATAGCTTTGTCATAGTTTCCAGTTTTTTCAAGCACGTTACCAAGATTGTTTAAAGACTGGACGACATCAACATGATTTAGACCTAACGATAGTTTTCGAATTTCTAGAGCTTTTTCGTGAACCTCTTTAGCTTTGTCGACGTTTGCAGTTTTATAAAACACCAAACCAAGATTGTTTAAAGACTGAGCAACAGTGACATGATTTGGACCTAACGATTGTTTTCGAATTTCTAGAGCTTTTTCGTGAACCTCTAAAACTTTGTCGTAGTTTCCAGTTTTTTCAAAAACCACACCAAGATTGTTTAAAGAAACAGCAACATCAACATGATTTGGACCTAAAGATTTTTTTCTAATTTCTAGAGCTTTTTCGTAAAATTTTATAGCTTTGTCGTACTTTCCAGTATTACAATACACATTACCAAGATTCATTAAAGAATCAGCAACATAAACATGATTTGGACCTAGCAATTGTTTTCGAATTTCTAGAGCTTTTTCGTGAACCTTTATAGCTTTGTCGTAGTTTCCAGTTCTTTCAAGCACGATACCAAGATTGTATAAAGATGAAGCGACATGAACATGATTTGGACCCAGCGATTGTTTTCGAATTTCCAGAGCTTTTTTGTAAAACTTTATAGCTTTGTCGTAGTTTTCAGTTTCATAAAACACACCACCAAGATTGTTGAAAGACTGAGCGACATCAACATGATGTGGAACTAACGATTGTTTTCGAATTTCTAGAGCTTTTTCGTGAACTTCTTTAGCTTTGTCGTAGTTTCCAATTTTATAAAACACCAAACCTAGATTGTTTAAAGACTGAGCGACATCAACATGAGGTAGACCTAACGATTGTTTTCGAATTTCTAGAGCTTTTCCGTGAACCTCTTTAGCTTTGTCGTAGTTTCCAATTTTATAATACACCAAACCAATATTGTTTAAAGAATAAGCAACGTCAACATGATTTGGACCTAACGATTGTTTTCGAATTTCTAGAGCTTTTTCGTAAAACGTTATAGCTTTGTCATACATTCCAGTATTATAATACACATTACCAAGATTGATTAAAGAATCAGCAACATCAACATGATTTGGACCTAACGATTGTTTTCGAATTTCTAGAGCTTTTTCGTTAACCTCTATAGCATTGTCGTAGTTTTCAGTTTTTTCAAACACCAAACCAAGATTGTTTAAAGAATCAGCAACATAAACA